ATAAAGTAACATTTTAATTTTGCAAAACTTACCACAGCTCCAGGGAACAGGTACTCGGGTAAATTTATGACAATGTCCAGACAGCTTACAGGGTTGGTCAGTACATGCTGGACACGTGCAATCTTGATCTCTGATTGGTTGAAGTTGATGCCAGTTAGAGAACCTTTGAGAGAAATCCGGCACAGGGCAGACGACTTTGTGTACAAGTACCCAAAACAATTGACATCGGTCGAGCAGTTGGCGGCACAGGACACGTGACTTGGTGTCTGGAACGTTTTCGTCTGCGTGAAAATTGGGTTGAAATCTTGTTGTGTGAACGTCCGAGAGTTTAATTGGCTGGAGCTCAAGACAAAAAGTCGCAGAAATATTGCAAGTCTTGTGGATCTAGCTAGAGACGGTTTGGCCTGAATCATTTCTAAAATTTTTATCCACCGAGATTAGAATAAATGGCATACATTTGAACGCTAAAATAGCTTGTGAAAAAGAAATGCAATGGATCTGGATACAGATGTTTTTGCCTGAATCCTGTTTTCTTAAATTTAACTTTATATTTTAATACAGTACATGCAATTGAAAACTATGCTTGCACAAGAAAAGACCTGACCAAACTGAGAAAAATAGTTCAACTTAAAACACATCTCACCAGCAACATTTGTCACCTGAACATACTTGACATTTTAACGTTTCAAGTTAGACTCGGAATATTACAAATATTTGCTTTAGTATTAAAATGTCAAGCCGCTTTAATTATCGTATCATATATCAACGGTGTTGATTGTATGAAATCAATAATCATGTTATTCTTCGTTCAAATCAAGTTTTTTGTTAATCAAAGCGTATCGATAAGATGGCGACCAATGCTTCTCATAATATTTCTAAAACAAACCATTTCGTTTGTTGATGAAGCGTGTTAACATAACTGATTAACTACTTATAAGTATGTTTACAGTATTTTGAATGTGTTTGAAAGTGTGAGTGTGTGAGTGTGAAAATGTGTGAATGAGTGAAGGTTGAAGTGACAGTTCGTCAGGTTGTGAGAAATGTCAAACTCAAGGGCGTGGGATTAGTCCGTAATGTGATCTCTCCAACCTTTTCTTCCATACCGATTACACGATTTAAAAACTTTGTTCATTTACCATCACAATAGCCCCAAGGCAAGCTTAAACGACGGACAAAGCAAATTATATTGTAATACAATAAATAACCTCTGAAGAAATTTCGCCGTGAGATACTTTGGGATAATTTGTCTGAGATCATTTGTCTCTAATTTCATTTGTCTTTAGATAATTTATCCTTGAGATAATCTGCCCTTAAGATATCTAGTTTTAGATATTTTGTCTGGGATTTTTGTCTGAGATAATATGTGCTCAGATAATTTAACATGTAACCATAGAAAGTCGTACCCCGAGATACGAATTGTTTGTATCTCAAAGCCATTTTCTCCATTGATATTATTTGAAATGCCATTAATCTGTTCCATCACCCACAATGCCACCTAATTTTATTTATTTGGTTTTTTTTTTTAAGTTTAAAAAACAAATATGTACAAATTAAAAAAATGTTGTATGAAAAAAATAAAGGAGAATGTAAAGAAATAAACCCGTGATTTTATAAAGTCTATACTGTTTTAAAATCAGTCGACTTGAGTGTTCTGAATAAACTGGAGGAGGTGTGATGTGGAAAAGCTTAAGTTCACTTACTCTCGACACTATCAATGGTATACAATGAAAATAATTCATTTTTCTTTTCTTTAAACGGTATCTAACATACAGAAGATTTTTATAAGTCAGATGATAACAACTTAGGTATCATGTGTTGGGTCATGTAGGAGGAGTGGGGGGGGGGGGGGGGGGCGGGTTGTATAATTAAGGCAGTCTCTATGCAGTTCGTCCACCAAATTTCATGAAGTGATTGCACAAAAAACAGCATTAAACAATTTATTAATAATATATCTTTAACACGTATTTGTGTGTTATAATCTTTAGTGAACTTCCCAGGGATCTGATAGAAATTATTGTAAAAATACATTGAATTATCCGAAAACATTTTCCTGAAGAAGTTGTATGAAGACAATAAAAAAAAAACCCACAGAAGATAGTAACAACTAACGTCTTATGTATTAATTTACTTTCTTTCTAAACTTTTAGAAAGAAAGTAAATTAATACATAAGACGTTAGTGTTAGTTGTTACTATCTTCTGTGGGTTTTTTTTTGTGTAACATTCAAAACATGCCAATCAACAAGTCTACCTCAGGTTTACATTAACCCCCCCCCCCTACTAAACTTGATTGCAGATCACATTTCCAAAAGCACGTCGTCTGCCAATATCAGGTTATTCAGCATCAGAAACAGCATCAGAAACAGCATCAGATTCAGCTACAGATTCAGGATCAGAATCAGAATCAGCATAATATTTTCGTCTTCTTCATTAAGTAGTTATTGATGTTAGATTTTTATTTGATTACGGTTGAGAAGGTTGAGCTTCATGCATGATTTTTTTTTTGCACACACATCCTTTTGAAAAACCCAAGACTGAATTTAATAACCTAAGGCAGAGACAAAAATTAGAATTAAATACAAGCGAAAAAATGATAGACATGGTATATTTCTGTTAGCCCAATTTAAACTTTAATAGTTTGACAGCATCCATCACTTTAACTTAATGCACACAGCACAACAAAAAGAACAAAAAAAACCAACAACATCGATGATGGACTACTGCCTCCAACCCAGCCGCTACATCAACCCATCAAGGACATCACGAAATATTTCTGACCTCATCCTAATTGGTAACAAGGTAGCAATAAAGCTACTTGACAGTGTACAGATTTATCAAACTAAATATTTGTAGGGATTCCTAACAAAATTTAGACCCTTTATGCTTTCAAAATCAGAACCAACATTGCATTATAGTAGGCCTACTAGTTCATCCTCGGCGTAATAATAAAACACAATACTTAACAAATTCTAAAAGTTCTTTAAAAAAATTTCAAACTAATGTCAGACATATTTGCGTTTTTGTATTTATAAAAATTCAAATTTTAAACTAAATAAAAATTTAAAAAATCGTTTAAGTCGATAAACTTCTGATTCATAAAGTTAACGATTTTAAGTTTTTAAACACACTTGACATTGGAAACATTTCTGTAACATTATATTGATCTCTAGCGTTCGAACAACAAGCTAGCGACACTCATCGAATATCCGAATAACTAAATTTTGGTACTCAATATAACACGGTTCTCAAGTGGTTGTGACGGCGAACCACAAGGAATACGTTGTCAAATGTCTATTTTGGTTAGCTAGAGATCAATATCTAAGAGGAAACTCGGGACTTCAAATTTTGAAAACCATCAAACAAGAGCTAAGGTTTCAACAATTGATCTACTGTTCTCTTGAAATGTTTTGAAGATGATACTCAATCCCCCAGGCAATTAACTATATCCCTGTTTAAAATATTATTTTACGTGAAGGACCTCTTAATAGGTCAAAAAGATGCGGTTTAATTCATAAATGATTGGCGTGACCTCAGTGTTGTATAAAGTTTAAAGCGATCGAGCGATATTTCCAGCTGTGCGACTCATTGTCAAACACACGTGAAATCTTTCAATGATGAAGTTTTGAGGCTCACTCCCCTTGTGTTGAATACATCGTGACCATGTTTACAGGCTATACGATTTTTGACTGACATATGTGGTAGGGTAGCATTTGTGGTTTAGAAAAAAATACAGTAGGAACATGCTTGTAATCGTTTATGGCCTAGAGATAGAGCGTTAGACTGCTAACTCAATAGTCTCGAGTTCGAATCCGGGTTCAAGTCAGTAGAACGTCCCTGTGTCCACCCAGCTCTGATGGATACCTAACTCACGTTAGGGAAAGTAACGGCAGATGGGCATAGTGCTGACCACGCTATCACTTCATATACCGAGGTCACCGAAACAGGTTAACTCTACTTCACTTTCCCCATGGACCGTTGGGTTCGAAAAGGGAACTTTGAAATCGTTTAAATAAAGATCTTATTACGTTGAACAAGATATATTAACATACAGTACATAGTAATATACATAAATGGCGTTTTATCGACGTCTAACAAAACTAACTTCTAACTAGACATCCGGTCCGTACAGTTGACTTAACAGCAAGTAGGCCGTATATCTTTAGATCGGCGAGTGGTACAAGGACCCTGTTATGTATACAGATAGTGGGGCCACTATCTCCATATTGAACGAATGTGGGATACATCGACTCCATTATGTCGGCATGTAGATGATGTATTTTGCTTGTAAGAAGACATGGTACTCAACCTGATTAGAAATTTTAACTTAAATCCTCACCATTAAGTCATTGAAGGCCACTCATGGACTCCAAATGTTTTCCAGATGTCTTTAGGTTTTAACAGTTTTCTGGCCCACATACATTTATTTTTGCGATCCACTCTATGTATGAAGTTGGGGTCGCTGACTTGCGTAAAAAGATGCTACATCTCCAGTTTATTGATGAGCGGTGATTGAGGATGTATGAAGGAGGTCGTGAGAACTTGTGATAAACCACTGAGGGGTTAGCCCGGCACATGGTCAATACACATCTCGACTCTAGATCGCTTCACATAGTTTAGATGTTCTCGCTAGACCCTAGATCCCTTAACATCCTGCAGATATTCTAGCTAGACCCTAGATCCCTTAACATCCTGCAGATATTCTAGCTAGACCCTAGATCCCTTCACATCGTTTAGATGTTCTCGCTAGACCCTAGATCCCTTAACACCGTTTCTCATCATGCAGAGTCAATTAAAATGGTGACGTCATCAGTGTAAACATATAATATATTCTGTATATATAAAAGCCAGTTTGAATAATATTAGACCAAGAAACCAGCTTAAATAAACTTGGAAATGTCTGCATGAAAAGTAAATCATTATTTAATAAGCAAATTTTTATTATAATTTGTAATTAATCAATGTTTCCACAGACTAATTGACGCGGCTTACCTAATAAAACATTATGGAAGTCTTCAACAAAACAGAAAGATTTAACGAAGATTCCTTCAAAGAGCTTCTCTACCTCTACAACGTTTGGTTCGTGGTCGTCATAACCTCTTCCCTAGCCTCGTTCGGGATCCTCAACAACGTCATCAACATGGCGGTCTTCTTCCGGCAGGGTCTCACCGAGCGCGTCAACTTCACGCTGTTCTGTTTGGCGCTGAGCGACCTGCTGACGTCCCTGTGTGCGCTGGGCTACACCACCAGCTACATCGAGAAGCTCTGGCCCCGGGATGATCGCCTAGAAGACAACACCCTCATCGTAATCTTCTCCTGGGTCCGGTGCTTTTTCGCCGATACATCGTCCACCTTGACGTTGTTTATTTCGATAGAGCGCTGTCTTTGCGTGACGCTTCCATTCACGTTCAGCACGAGTTTTGACAGTAAAAAAACCAAACTGGTGGTGTTCTTCATCGCGTGTTTCATGACCGTGAACTACGTCCCGTTTTTAGGGACGATGAAACTCGAGTACGAGCTTCTCCCCGAGACGAACAGGACCGAACTTACTTTTATAATAACGGATCTCTTTCTCTTCATGTGTGTCTACAACAACTTCGTGTTTGGCCTCTCCCTGGCTATCATATGCCAGGTTGTCATTTTCGTCTGCGCCGTGTTGATGTACTACGGTCTCCGGAAATCGTCAAAATTCCGGGAAAGCGTGAAAGACGTCAAGAGCGACAAAAAAGGCAACGGACTTTCAAACAAAGAAAAACGTATCGTCAAGATGGTCATGATGCTGGCCTGCCTGTACCTGCCGACAGGACTTCCGCAGGTTGGGTACGTCCTGGCCAGTACGTTTGTGCCCGAGGTCCTGAGTGACGTAGAGAAGGGCACGTTTTTCATCTCCACCAGCGCCATCTTGTTCCTGGTGACAGCCAACGGTTCCCTGACTTTTTTCATCTACTACAACTTCAATTCCAGCTTCCGTGCGACCTTCCTCAGGGGCTTCACCAGGCAGTCTTTGTTAGGTGTGGACAAAAAGTAAATTTTTGGCGACCTTCCTCAGGGGCTTCACCAGGCAGTCTTTGTTAGGTGTGGACAAAAAGTAAATTTTTGGCGACCTTCCTCAGGGGCTTCACCAGGCAGTCTTTGTTAGGTGTGGACAAAAAGTAAATTTTTGGCGACCTTCCTCAGGGGCTTCACCAGGCAGTCTTTGTTAGGTGTGGACAAAAAGTAAATTTTTGGCGACCTTCCTCAGAGGCTTCACCAAGCAGTCTTTGTTAGGTGTGGACAAAAAGTAAATTTTTGTTTTAAAAAGTTTTAGAATCCTATTTTTTTCTACACTCGGCCACCAATAATCTCAATCAATAGAATTTTAAAACAAACAAACATATTTATACCCTTGGATGAACATTTAATTGTAAAAATATTAAGAACATTTTGTGTGAAAAGGTTGCAATTATACACTTACATCCACTTCAGTTCAATAGTATTTGCTGGAAATTTAGTTACAGGACACATTTTACATTTTTTTTTCTTTTACTTTCCGTTTGTTTGTGGGTTTGTGGCAAATCATGTTACTCAGTTTAGACCCACTTCTAATGAAGCAATTTTATTCAGATTTTCAGATACGTTTTTCTTTGCGGGCAAAGCATGAATATTATTTTTAAAATTTAATTCGAGATACAATTTAATTTAAAACTTACTGTATTCAAATTAAAACGGGAGATAACAAGATAAAAATACTAGTCAATGATTGTTTGATTATGGGGGGCGTCGTGAGTGAACTGTTATCACACTTGGCTGATTTCACGAGGCGCGTAGACTATGAGCGAAGAAGGGGCAGTTAACTAGTTTTTTTTAGAGAAAACAAGCTCCAGAACGTATTTTAGTGCAAATATTTTAGTCGTGGTCTATGTAATGTCAACTTCATTTTGAACGAATGATTAAAAGTGGAAAATAAGTTAAATATAAAACCTTTATAATAGTAAGAAACTTCATTCATAAAAGCTTTGATCGCAAAAATATGTGTTCTCACGAGGGACCAAAGCTTTTATTTTATAAAGTTTGTTTTATTTTCTTATTTTCAGTGCATTTAAAAGCTGGTTATTATTAAGGTTTTTATATTTATTTTATTATAATGAGAACAGCTGAAGATGTGGCTTCAATGTGGGTTGTTTTTCGTTAAATGGATTATCATTACGGTGAAATAAGGCTGCTACACTTTAACAACTTAACGCCAATACAAAAATGTAGTAATTAAACACAACTATTTTAATCCTGTATATCTGTAAAACCTTTTCGAAACCGGTAACAAGAGGTTTCTATATCTGGACATTATGTCGTGTGTAGCGTGTAATGTCCAGACACCTCCGGACAGATCTACGTCTATATCTGGACATTATGTCGTGTGTAGCTTGTAATGTCCAAACACCTCCAGACAGATCTACTTATGCTAAGAGGTCAATCAGCGTATGTTGTCATTTGTTGATTTTAATACTCATTTACACCAATGTTTTGCTTACGAACCTTGTGGCCCATGAGGCAGATGAAGTAGAGTTCACCTGTGTCAGTGACCTCGGCCTATTAAGGGTTAGTTTGGTTAGCACTATGTCCAGGTACTCATCAGATCTGGGATCCGAACTCGACACCTTCAGGTTAGGAGTCGTGTGCTCGAGCATGCAAGAACACCGTCCCATACTAATGTTGATGACTCGTCTTTTGTTGTGCATTGATTTCATTGAAATCGTTTTCTTTTAGAAATACTTTCATTCATAATTTAAACTATGGGAGATTACTTTCAGGACACAAAAATAGAAATTTTCAGTGGTTAAAATGAAAAAAAAACCCCAAATGAAGTTTAATTTAACAACATTCGACATTGGACATCTAAGTAGAATAGTTGCGTTTAATACAATAAGACTGGTCTGTCTGATGAAAAACAAATTGCACGGTATAACAGCACATTTTCGCCACTCCTCTGAACAGAGTTTTGTTTTGTTTTGCTGGTTGCTTGTGGTCGACTGGAATACTTTTCACCATTAATGTTATTGTCTAGTGTTTGAATCTCTTCTAACTGGGCTTAAAATTTGATGCTTGTAGTAACTTCTGTGTTCTTATCATGGCTGTAACAAAAGTACGCAAGGAATAGGGTGAGTTAAGTATTCTTATGTACCTGTCTCCCCATAGGAGTAGGTGAAGAAGAATCAATCTGATTCAATTACTTCCGTGTATAAAGGAATTGATTAGCGCTATGTCAAGCATGTTTTGTTACCAGACTTGATCCAAGTACTGATTAGAGCTGGGTAGACTCAGAAATCTATCTCGAGACTTACATGTTAGACAACGAGTGCTCGTTCTACGACATCGTATCCTCGTTTAAGTTTGTTACACAATAAATTTAAAGGACAACAGCAGAAAATATTAAGATATAAAAATATTGTTTTATAATCTCTAATTTATTGCGGTGAGGTTCATTGATCAAGTCCTTAAACGTGCGAATAATGAAGAGATACACAATACGACACACACGTGCAAAACATTCCCAGGTGTCAGGTGTGACAGTTCACACAGGTGAACAGTCGAATGACAACAATCACGACCTTGACCTTTGACAGCACCTGAAAACAGTTCAGACTCCACGTAAGGGTGACCAAATATAACGTCCTGATTTGATGAAAGGACGGCGTTGGATGGTGAGAGATGATCATGGTCAACACCGTGATCTTGAGGTCAAACATTTCAACTCTCGCATTCTGCTCTAAATTTGTCGAAGGTTCTTGTGTGTCAACTCGTGCAAATTGGACTAAATTCGACCGTCAGTTTCTGGTGAAACTAATTTGATGTACACAACCTCTGTCTGAATGTGCCGTCAGTTAATGATCAAAATAAGATGATGTACACAGTCCCTATCTGAATGACGACACCGACGTTGATGTTAGTACACTTCATCTTTAAGTGTAGCGTGTAATGTCTTTAAGTGTACGATGAGAGGTAGGTGATTAGGTGTAGGTGAATTGAGAGAGAGAGAGAGAGAGAGCGCGAATTAAGTATGTATTACGTATATATAAATATGTATGTATTTATATAAATATTTTTGAAAAATGAAGATATTGTTTAGTATAGAATAAAATTGGGAGGTTTTCAGTAGATCAAAGCTTATCTTGATGCCACTGCTGTGTTCAACCACCTACTTTAAACACTGCGAGTCATTCAGCGACTGCGTTAAACACGAAATACAACTCTGTCTGTACTAGTTGTCATTAAAGCAGGTGAAACAGAGTCTGTCTGTTTCTAAAGCCCCGACAAACATGATGGGTCAATCCACTTTAAGTTTACTGAAGTCGGCTCCTACCCAGACCATGGTCAGAGCAGTGTTCGAACCTAATTCTTTGACATAATTGTCAGGACCACTACCGCCCAACCATCATCGTTTATCTATATTCCTGTAGAAGATTCAAAATCTATACTCCTGTAGAAGATTCAATATCTATATTCCTATAGAAGATTCACCGAATATTGTATCTACTACAGCAGTGGCGATCCATGATCGTTTATTTTATGATTTATAATATTTTTGTAGCTACCAATGCGTATAATTTTGACTGGTGCTGTTAACACGTATACAAATTAGGGTTTATTATGCTTTTATTATGCCTAAACAACAACATTAGAACTAATGCAGCGTCATAGTTAAAATGAATGTGCACATTTCGAATCGACAACCAACATAAAATTATCAATCAACAACAAAACATACAGTTTTAAAAAATTAGACATTTAGTTAATTATGCTAATGAGACACAATAAAGTATTATCCTCTTTTTGTGAGGCAATTCTATTTAAAGTTTGGATGTACAATCTAGGCCAAACAATAACCGCATTATTGAGTTATGAATGGATTCAAAACTTTGAGCTGAAGATACGGAACAATAACACACTCTGTAAAAGGTTAGTTTGTAATGCGGGACGGGATGGGGGTTGGAATTGGTCGTTTATCGACAGAACGATAAAACTAACGACGTCGATGAAAGAGCGATGTGTATGGGTATTGTCTTGTCATTTGTGTTGGGAATGTTTACAGAATTAACTTTTAATTTAAACGGATGGTAAGCTGTAATATAAATGCTCAAATATAAGCCGTTTACTTGATGGGGTGATGTAAAAAAGGAAAATAAAAATATGGAAACACAAAGAAAATAAATCAAGGCAACAAATTCGGCTTGAACACGAAGAATTCAGTGTGAGAATTTGACTGATAGTTTTGTGAGAACACGAAGAATATAGAGTGAGAATTTGACTGATAGTTTTGTGAGAATTTGACTGATAGTTTTGTAAGAATTCGACTGATAGTTTTGTGAGAATTTGACTAATAGTTTTGTTTGGAAAAACGAATGGAAGTTTGACGTATTATGCGAAAAATATGTTTGGCTTTGGGTTTCTATATATAGATGTTTCTACCCGTGGGCAGATTTATTTTAAGGAATTTTTAGGTGTTTCGCAGGGCACCCCGACAAAAGAGCGCCGACATAGAAGCACAGACAAAAGAGCGCACAACTTAGAAATATAAATGCAACTATAAAGAAACGTTTTATTTATCTGAACTTATGTTCATTTTGTTACATTTCATTTCAGTTTATATTCTTACTTTAGGCCTAACATTGAAAATCTTGTATATGTTATTAGGTTGCGTTTTGAATAATTGGACTTCACGTTGATTGTACCAGTTTTTTAGTTAAAGAAACTTAACAATTAGTTTTTTAATGAAACAATAAAGAGTTAACTTCAAACGATGACGTCTGATCTGAGTTAATTTTCTTGTTCCTATTTATTAAATATGGTTTATCGATCTTTAGTTTGCGCTCTTATGTCGGCGCTCTTTTGTCGGCAAATTAGTGCGCTCTTATGTCGGCGCTCTTATGTCGGTGCTCTTTTGACGGGTCACCGTTTCACAGGTATAAGCTTGCGTGGTTTTCAACAGTTTCGGGCAAGATATATATTCAGTAGTTTAGGGCTTGTGTCATTTAAATAGATTGGAGCTATTGTTATTTCCAGAACATGGCCTATAGGCTAATGCCAATCAACTTAAAGCCACGTAGCAAAACGTTAAATCAGGTTTAAACAATCAGGTGATTTGAATGACAACAGCAAAACTTAGGATCTCATAGCCAGTTAAACTAATAGCCCCATCTTGCCAGTAAAACTAATAGCCCCGTGTTGCCATTAAGATTTAGGGAGGATAACATTTAGCCAATAAAGCACTGGGTCTTACTACGAGCATATAACATGTCTATACGTTTAATATATAGGCCTATATATAATATATATGTTCAGATATATGAGAATAGAACAGGCTAAGTCCCTGCTGCCATGAGAGTATATTCACATCAGTAGCGCTGTTTTCCTAAGATCGTTTATAAAACTAAAAGTAAATCTTGACACCCATCTTCTGAGCCCCGCTGGCAGGAAATATTTTCTGTATAGAATCAAAGTGTTTGGGTGAGCCGACAACAAACAAAAGTCGTACAGATGAAGCCACAATGTTCAATGTGTTTTCTTTTTGTCCTGTTCAAGTTTACAATAAGACCCAAAAAAAAGCGAGAAAGAAGAGGGATGGACATAAAGCATATCTCGCACTACCTAATTTTTTCTACTGAAGTGTACACGTGTGATGTACAATGTTTCAGAATAGTTGGTGTAAAGTTTGTCTATCATAGCTCCACAGTACCTGTCAAAAAATGTGTGGTCTGATTTCTGTTTCTCTCGTCAGTGAGTGAACTACTACCCCATGCTCATACTCTCTTGCATGCTTGTACCTAAGAGAGAAACCTGGTAGTGTTTTACACTCTACCACTATTGATTGAAATAAAATCTTTGTAGCAATATATATATATATATATATATATATATATATATATATATATATATATATATATATATATATATATATATATATATATATATATATATATATATATATATATATATATATATACCTTCAGCATGTCGACATTTTAATAATATAAAAATTAGAATTTTTATTTTAACAAAACAATCTCTTTAGAAGTAACATGAATAATGCAAATAAGTTGGTTTACTTGTTAATACTTTACCTCGGCATATAAAGAAATGTTGTGGTCAGCACTAAGCCCAAACTTCCTTTACTTTGCCTGACGTAACTCATGTACTCGCTAGGGACATCCTGAAGTCTGGAGTCCGGAGCGAGATCCGAACTCAGCACTTTCGGGCTAGCATTGGAGTGCTCTATCTAATCACAGCGTCCCATTGTTATTTATACATGTTTATATGACAATTAATACAGAAATGTAAAACTAATTTAAAGTAAAATTTTCTTTAAAAATTCTTTCAGAAAACGCTTCTTTAACTCGAACAAATTCTCTTATCCGCTTGTAGTTTTCACGATTTCACCAACAGTGCCGGAGCTGGAGCCGAACCCACGTCCCTCCATGGACTTCCCAACGACAGCCCAGCCCAACACGACATGGGACGACACCGCTTACACGTCCGGGTACCTGTTCTGCCAGACGTCCGGAATGCTCATGTCCATCCTCGGCGTCGTCTCCAACCTGATCAACGTTTCCGTCTTCATCAAGCAGGGCCTGCACGAGCGGGTCAACTTCGCTCTCTTCTGTCTGTCCGTCAGCGAGTTCTTCGCCTCCCTCAACGCCTTCGCCGTGACGCTGACTATCTTCTTCAGCATGTACCCGCCCAGCGCGACCGTCGACTGGGTGGCCATCGTCATGTTCTTCTTCTGGTTCCGTGGTCTATTCGCCGACACCTCTTCTTGTCTGACGCTCTTCATCTCTATAGAGAGATGCTACTGCGTCATGCAACCTTTTAAATTCAATACTACTTTCACTTTCAAAACAACAAAGATGGTCGTGTTGTTTATTTTAGTTTTCGTCATCGCAAGTTATCTCCCCTTGATGTCTTCAATGAGATATACATACTACACAAATCCTGAGTTAAATATAACAATTTTAACAGCCGAATATTTACAGTTGTATTACTGGATGGTCACCTACAATGACTACGTGTTAGGGATCTTACTGGCCATCGTGTGTCAGGTGTGTATTTTCGTGTGTGCTGTGCTCATGTACCGGGGACTGCGCAAGTCCACTGAGATCAGGGACCACACGCGGGAGTTTCAAGTCTCAGAAAGCCAAACCGGCAAACTGGCCAGGGACAAGTTGCCGGGTTTGTCCAAAAAAGAAAAACGTGTTGTGAAACTGGTGTTGATGTTAGCCATTCTGTACCTGCCCACAGGTATCCCGCAGATCATTTACGCTATCTTTAGGGGCTACATCCCGGAGAAGTATTACTTCCTGTGCGCATGCGTCGTGTTGTTTTTCGTCACAGCCAACGGTTCATTCGCGATATTCATTTATTATAATTTCAGCTCGGTGTACCACAGCACTTTGTTATGTCAAAACAAAAGTGGGAAAAATTTGAAGAGAAAAAATTCTCATTGACTCAAGCTAATCTGGAAGACAGCATTTCTGTAAGGAACATTTTCAAATTTAAACGGCGATTTAACCGACGTCAAAGGGAAGCAGAAATAGTTGTTTGTTTCGACAGATTCATGCTCAGATTCATTCATGTCTTAGTATTAGTGTATAAGTTACATGAAACTTTAAAAAAAATTCATAAAAAATGTGTAGTTCAGAACTATTATTTATAGGCCTACATTTGTAAATTAAAGTATGTGTGTCTGTCTGTTTGTTTCTTTGTCTTTTATGCATTACAACATCTTTCATCCGATTGCCATAACATTTTTGGGAAGTTCATGGGAAGGCTTCTGCGAAAAAATATTCGTAGTAGCTCCCGGACAGAGTGCATTTGGGCGCCCTGGCTTCATTTTGTACTATGGCGCCTACGTTCTTTTTAAGGAGTGTGATATACTATGGAATCTTTCACGAAATCCTATTTGAGCACTGTGGCGGCTACATTCGTTTTAAAGATCTCCTTTGTTTAACCTAACAGATAATCTAAGACTGTAGTATAATAGTTTATAGATTGTGAGACAGAAAGCTTGCAGCTTCGACAAACCACCCTCTACACTGAGATTTTCTTCTTTTTATTTCTTTCGGCTCCTTATCGGGCTTAGTCCCAGGAGACACTACGTCAACTAACTGGAATTTTTTTAAAGCTCCAGCCCTAGCAATCCAACCTACTCCGTCTCGCTTTCAACCGATTATCTCCATGACTTTTTCGCCCCACTCTTCCTCTAACCCGTGGATTTTACACCAGCACATTCGTCATCATTATCATCGTCTTTTTCCTTTTGCTTTTTTGCGGAGCAAAGGACCACTTTCAAACTATTATTTCTCCACGGTCTCCTGCCACTACTTTCAGTTGTGCCCAATTCCTTCCTATCCTTTCTGCCTCCTTCAGCACGCTATTGTGGCATGTCTTCCTAGGTCGACCCCTGTGTCGATAGCACCTGCGTAGTTTTTATATTAACTGTATTTCAGAGCATCCATTACCTTATTTCATTCTCCGCTGTCTGTAACCTCCCCCCCCCACCCCGAGAAATTCAGTAAAAGATTCCACATTTTAGCTAAAATCCTAATTTAATTGTTTTGACAGTGTGCATTCCTCATACGTTTAGAAAGTTGATCTAAACTGATCTCTATCACTTTCATTAAACTGTGTGTTTTTTTTTTTTACATATTTTTCAATCAGTACAATTTGTAATGCATTTGTAACTATATGCTTAAAACATATTCATACTACAGCCACATATACGCCTTTAAATACTTTTAAAATTATAAAAAGTACATACAATGAAATTTGGATTTTAGCTTTGTGCTTTGATAATTCTTCGTGCTGCAATATGATGTGTACAGGATCGGTCTTTTCTAGATATGCCTAGATATGAGACAAACTATGCACACGAAACTGGGATACAAAGTGGCCATCACGTGATGTTCCTAGTTACCAAACTACATTAACATTAACACGGACTTTTGTCTTGTTTGACACAGACTCCAGAGTTAGGACACGATCTCTGTTTAATGGTGTAACCATTATCAGGTAATACATTCTGCTGCCGTTGTCATGGCAACAGTGGTACTTGTGGCCAGTGTATGAGAACCAGGTGTTGTGGGGTGGTACAGGTGACATGATGTGTTTGTGTTGGTCAATGGATGGCGTGACCTGAACGTAGGCGAGCCGTTCTTGTACGGTCGTGGTTGTTGTACCGGGGCGGGGTGAGGAGGCAACTGGTTGAGATCTAAGACGTCTTGAACGTTGTTTGTACGCTTGAGAGAACACGGCTGAGACAAATGTAGAGACATGCGCACAAATGTCTTCATCAGCTGCGACTCCGTGTGTGGATGTTCTTTGGGTGGTCGGGGACGATAGACGCGTTAACCTGGGGATTTATTGTAAAAACTGTTTCAAGAGATAACATACACATAAACAAAAACAACAATCAAATACACACATACACATATAGCGTTCACACTCACACACACAGTGGGGTCTCTAGGCCGGGTGTGACCCGGTGCGGCACCTCATGGTGTCACCCCCTTCTTTCTTCTCTTTAAATTTTGCAGTTGATGTCAGCCCTCACCCCGGTAAAAGTTTTAAAGTGGTCACATTTAATACTAATGTTTCTTTATACTCGTTTGTTAATACCGCTGAGAGTAGCGTTGTTTTCTCTATAGTTTACATTTTACTAGGTAGTCCAAACTGAAATTAACTATTGATTGCAGACTTCTGGAGTGAGTATGTCATGAAAGAACTTTTAATTGTAAGCTCTATGCCACAAATTTTATAAAAATATCTTAATAAATAAAAAAGTTATGCGATTTTTAAAAAAGCAAAATTTGGTAAAAAACTGATTTTTAAAAAGTGCCAATTTTGAGAACCCATATTTTCTAAACTAAATAACATAGAAGTGTAGAAATTGGTAAAGTTACTGCAAAGTTTGTAATATATATGCCCAATTTTTTTCAGTCATCTAAAATGAGTCTTTCTAAGGTAAAAATAATTATTGAAAATGACAAAAATGCATTTTGGTCACTTTTATTTTCATAATTTTTTTTTTTTTTGCTTTGGACATAGAATAACTCTAAAACTATTTTGTTGGTAACATTAACAGGAATAATGTGTTCATTATTTTCAAAAATCACATGAGTTAAAATATTATTTTAAAAAAATGCCACAGTTATCTAGAGCAGGAGAAACAGAATCAAAATTTAGTGGAGTAATGTAATGTAATCTAATAAAGACGTGATGCCTACAAGTAATGCAGCAGTTGCTGCTACATTCAAACCTATTGGGTTGATAACTGCTTTGGGGGAACAGTTTTTAAAACGACACCTCCACATCTTTGTATGTCTTGTTTCCCCCAACCTTGATCTTGTGGAGCATCAAGAGTAAGTGATATGTTTTGGGAACTGTAGTTGGGGGGGGGGGGGGGCTTGGCCTTCTTCCCTTCCCTTGTAAGGAAAGTTCTGGATAGGCCACCATAAATGTCTCCAGCTATGGAATAAATAATTGATTTAGTGATTAATAAAATATAATTAGATTTACTACTAGCCTATTATGTAGGCCTACTATTTATCCTGTGACTGTAGCTGGGAACATGAAAAAGCCTGAAAACACCTTTTTGTTTAAAGAAATTTATACTTGATAGTATATTTTGAACATTAATTCTATTGAATGAAATATTCGTTGTTTGTGCCACAATGGTTGAGATATCCAATGATGAAGATGCCATACTGTGGTTCTCAACATCATATAGGACAACTTAACTGTCCTTCAGTGTTACTATATGCATATAAAATAAATAAATAGTGAGAAATACTACTAGTACTACTTACACTTACAACTAATATAACATTTAAAACTAAGTCACAACATGTACAATCTTATTAAATTGCACCACCATCTAACAATTGATCTGGTACATTTTATTAAGGAGACTGGCGCAGACCATTTCACATTATTCAGCAGGGGAATCAGAATCAAAGTGCACAACAGAAAATTAAAAATTAATCACATTAGTCCTTAAAATTTAGTGTCTTTTGTTTTAAATAAATTGATAAAAATGTATAGTTATTACAATTATAAGTTTCTTTTGTGTTTCAATAATATTTTATAAGTATTTAACCTTCGTTCCCTGTAAATAATTGAGTTCGTCCACATAGTAACCAAGAATGTCTGGTGGCCATTTTGAATTTGTCGATTCATAATTTTGACGCGATAGTCCAGATAAACTGTAGTAATACGACCCTATCATTAATCCCATTCGATAGATTTTAAAGAATTAGTAAACACTAGCATCTAATAGTTAAGTGCATCCATATTTTAAGTCCCTAGAATGTCCTGAATTAAATAGCTTCACGTTTAAACACACCATGGCATGTGTACAAGAATAGTTCACACGCTAAAACCGTGGACTAGTAGGGTTCAAATTTACATTAATAACGTGTGCTAATTAAACCAAACTGACATTCAAACTTAAAATTCATTTATTAAAATGGAAATGAAACTTTAAAAATGATACTTACAACTTGTTTGAAGGCTCTAGCAAGGGTAAAATCCGTTTAGCATCATCGGTCGTCAACCTTTAAAACCGTTCGGCGAGCAACTGACTCGGGGCTGAAAGTTGACTCGAGGGTTATATGCTTATTGAGGGTTCGGCTTCGCGACCGTAAATCAGAAAGACTTGAATTTACAACACAAAGTAGTTATAAAAGTTAACTTTACATCGGTGTAAAGATTGAAACAGAATTAGTTTGTTTTCGTGTATATATCGTCATTTAAAGTTTAAAAACTGATTTTTTAAAATGAAATAAGCAAGTTATTTTTTCAATTTATACATCAAACGATAGACTAGAATTCGCTCTTTAAAATGACATTAAGATTATGCTTCTACAATGCTTCGTCGCGAAGCCGTAACCAAATGAAACAGTGTGGGGTCGATCGTAACACGCAAAACGGTGAAATTTGTTGACGTAACTGATACTTTTCAAACAAATATAAAACACATTCAAACATGTGTTACAGATATAAAAATACCAGATTACGATAGATAAAGGCTTAAACTTTATTGACATATAATTTTTATTCTTATAGAACAACTAGAAGTAGTGAAATTTTTTTTTTGAAAACCGCAAAAACTGACCCTAAAACGCACTTTTTCGCCAGTTTGAACTACCTAATTTTACACCATGGTGTCAGACCCCCCCCCCCCTTGTTGAGATCTTCAGTATGTACTTAAAATACTTTTTAACCGTTCATTGAACTGGCAAAACATATTTATTCAATATATCTTGCAATTTTTTTGTCCTCCCTAAATGGTGTCACCCATTGCAGTCCTCACCTCCGCCCCCGCCTCGCGACGCCTCTGCACATACATACCACACAAATACACACTATCTATTATATGAAAGGCACAAATTTTTGGCTTACGGCCGAACATAACGTACTAATAACAACCTGTTAATTAGTGAAGTAA